GTTTCAGTAATCATTAGTTCTATAGTACAGGCACCTGTTGTTTAGAAATAGTTCTCATACGCTATTTGCCGACAGGCTTAGAGTTTATCACTTACCATTTATATTAGTTAGCTAGCATCATTTGTACACATGAATTAATTACTAAATAAATACCTGGCAAGATATGCCAAAGTTAAAAAAAATAAAAAAATTATATAAATTTTATAAAATTTTATATATAAAATTTTTTAAAAAAAAGCCGGCCGGCCGGCCGGGTCTATTTAAAAGTTTCATGTTATAAAAACCAAGTAATTAAATTTGTACGGCCTTATAGTGTTCTTATACTTTGTAAATTATTTTGCAATATTATGCTCTATTAAATATAGTTAAGAATAAGTTACCAATAATATACTAAAAACTCTTGTAAAAAATAGTGTATATGTATATATATTCCACAAAGAGTAATAAAAAAGCAGTGTTTTATGGGCTTAGGGTCTTATAGCCTAGTGGTTTGGGCACCTAACCCTCCACAGACAAGGTCAATGGTTTGATTATAGCTAGTAGTAATTAATTTAATTAATTATTTCTGTAACCTTCAGGAGCTTTCGAATACAAAACCCTGTGGCGGTAAAACATGTAATATATATATTTGGCCAATAAAGAATTCTTGAAAGAAGCCCCGAGCCATGGAGAAAACTAGGCACTGTGTATAATATGGATCATAGAAGGTAATACTGCAGAAGGCTGTGTGTGTGAATCCACAATTGGCAAGGTAGCACCAACAACCCTAAGGCGGCATTGGGATCTTGATCGGGAGGACGGCTAAATGTAATATACCCAGAAGTGTTAAGAGAAGTAGTGAACATAGTAAGGGGCTGTGGTAAGAGAATGACTTTACCAAATATAGAACACTTCTGGCATAATGAAACAAGGAAAACTGGCTAAAATAAACTTTGAAAAGTATGGAAGCAAGCAATCTGGTAATATGAAAATAAAGACAGGCTAGGGAGTACTAGTCATACAACCTATATAGGAGTCTATAATGAAACATAGCAGAGGTGTGGATCCTGGGTTACTAGATTGTAATAGTAATTAGATGAGGTACTTAACTCCCATTCTAAAGATCCAGACCCTGTATCATATACCAATAGGAAGTACTATAGAAAAATTGGTAATCTAATTTGGTAGTGTATAATATTAACACTTGAAGATCATAAAATAACATCTTGGTTGTGGTAGCAGGTCCTGTATTTGGTTTGAGATATGAACTAGACCCTTAGAGTAACATCCCAAAAACACCAAACTGGAAGTATCAAGAGCACCCACTTGAGAGACACCAATTTAGAAATAGTACAAGAAGCAAATTAGAAGTAATATGATAAGTAATGAGGGGTAGAAGTTAGCTAGTAGATACTATACAGTAGTATATAAGTGGGATATATATGATAAAATAGATTTGAGAACCATCCAGTGAGTTTGAAAACCAGCCTATTGCAGGATGGTTGATAAGAAGATAAAATCTCATATAGCAGATCACACATAGGTACTAAGTTAGTAACCATGTGTAATAAATTAGATAGTTGTAAATATATATATATACATTTGTAACCACAATATCTCAGAGTACTAAGGCAAGACTGCTGAATTAAAAATAAAAATAAAAATAAAAAAAAAATAAAGAGGCAGTATTGTTAAAAAAAAAAAAAAAAAAAAAGTAATACACAACTTATTCAACAACACAAACTCAACTAAAAAAAAAATAAAGAAGCAGTATTGTTAAAAAAAAAAAAAAAAAAGTAACACACAACTTATTCAACAACACAAACTCAACTTTATACAGTCAAACCTCCATAAATGCAATGTATACAAATCAGCTTCAATTGTGCATTTAGAGAAAGCTAATCAAATTGCAGCTTTTAATGTTTGATTTGCAGGCTTGTATAACACAACTTGAATACTAAATTCTGATTGGCTATATGCATTTAGCACTAATGATTTCTTATAGCCAGGCCAGAAACATGCATTTAGAGAGGTATTGCATTTATGAAGGTTGTATTTATGGAGGTTTGACTATATATAATTTTCTTCCATTAGAACTACAAAAAATACCAATCTTTAAAAGCCTTAAAAATAATCAAATCTTATTTTTTAAACAACTTTTAATAGCTAATAATCAACATTTGCTTTCTTGAAATAATATATATTTCTGAACTAACAAAACTTTTTGTGGGCCTATTCCATCTTGATACAAAACTTTTCAGTCTATTATTAACAACAAAACAATCTTAAAACAATAGTCTCAAATTAATATTGCTACAAACAATTTCTTCTATAACATATTAAATCTACTTGCAAATCTCAATATATTATCTTAGAAAAACAACTAGTTATTAATTGCCTCATATTCTGGAAAAATAATTACTCAATTTAATAACTATTTCTACTTCCAATAATATAACTTATATACTAATATACTAGGCATTTTAATACTTAATTCTATTTCTACTATACACATAGTAACATTTAACCAAATTATAAACTTCATCTGCAAAACTATTTACTCTTAAAATACCTACCAACTAGTTTTTGATTTAACAGAAATACAAGCACTACTAGAAATTTTCTTCTCACTTCAAGCCCCACTTTCTACTCTAACTCCTATTACAATTAATAATTCCAATATAACACTTATTAAAAATATAATTTTAACTCTATTTTACAAAAACAAACTTATAAACTTACAAAACCTTTTCCTAACTATATTTACAAATAATCTATATTTCTACTCAGATGCTTCAATACAAAATACCAAATCACCAAATATTCAAGCAGGAATTAGCTGGTTTTTAGAAAACAATACACAAATTAACTTTTACTCTGTATTAACAAACACACAAAATACCAATCATTTAGAAACTAAGCTAATTATTTATCTACTTCTAATTCTTCCAAATAATATACATTTTCATATTTATATAGATAATTTTAGCAATATATAATCTTCAAAAACTTCTAACTGACCAACCAATCCAAATTAAACAAAAAAATTAGGATCTTCTTTATATTATCAATAATCTTCTTAAAATTAAAAATATTACATATACTATACACAAAACAAAATTTCACATAAAAAAACCAAATTCACTACATAATTATGCTGACAGATTAGCAAAAGAAGGTTGTTATCAGCCAAAAATTGAACTTAATTATAACTACTTAATTTCAATATTCTATTTTTCATAGTACAATAATACAATCTTTACACCAATTTGAAAACTTACTAAAACTTTTTATACTATCCATATACTTAATCATTTTCTTCAACTCAAAAAATTTCAAACTAGTTCTACTTTCAATATTCAACTATTCTTTAATATTCTCAATTCTTAAAATTACAATTCAAACTTATATACTCTACATATTAAAACTATTTTTAACAATTTACCAACAATATTAAATCTTAATATATAATATCTATATTTATACTTGACATCAAACTGTTCTTGATGCAACCAACTTGAAAATACTTTACATATTATAAATTGTTACTGCTTATTTTGGCAACTTTCTAATATCTTTAAAAACTATATACTTCAAACAATAAAAAATTTAAACTCTAATAATAACCAATCTTTATAATCTCAACATATTCAACAACTCTTTATCAATATCTCAGAACTCTTTTTACAAATTTTAACAATTATTTTCAGAACTATCAATCAACAACTATTTAATCAAGCATATTTTTTTCTTCATAAATACACACAATCTTTCTTCATTAATCTTTTCTAATAGTCTTTTTAATTGGTTTATAACTGAAATCTGGACCCCAAGAAATCAAACTTAATACAGTTAGAAATTCACAAAAAATATAACACTTAAATCGAAATATACAAAAACATATTTTTCCAGATTAACATCACATCAAAACTCCACTACTATTTTTAACAATAATATTGACTAATATATTTAAAAATTACTTTTTAAAACTTTACAATTTTCTTATATATTAATTAATTATATTAATTTTCTAAAACTTTACAAATCTCTTATATATTTATTATATACCTGAATAACAATTTAACTTTTATTCAAAACTTATAAAAATTTGATATATTCAAAACTAAACTAAATTCTAAAAAACTCTTTTTATTATACAAACTTCATACTTCAACTACTATCTACAATATCTATACTATTGCTAACTTTGCCGAAATTTTTTGCCCAACACAACATTTTCAACTTCTCTAACCTCTGTGTATACTTTCTTTTCAAATAAAAAAATAATTTAAAACACATCCATTTTACCCACTTTTTGAATTTTGTTCTGACTTTTGTTCTTGAATTTAGTCTTCCAACTAGAGTGCCTGGTAAAGCACTTAGTGGCATGCCAGTAGTGGCATGCCACTGTGGCATGCCTTTGGTATACCAAAATCTTATTTGGCATGCCACCTTATAAATTAGTTACACAAAGATAAACACTACTGCTACTATAAATAGTTACAATATAGCAATTAGCCGTTTTAATTACAAAACAGGTTGTGAGCTAGAAATAGTAATTCTAGATGAATTTCTATACTTGGAATGTAATTAATGCGATTTTGTAACTTCCATAGCCATATTTTTACAAGCATTGAAACCTCATATGATTTTCAAAATAATTAACTTTTAATTTTAATCAATAAAAGACATATTATTAATAAAATTAGACTTTTTTAATGTATCTTTTAAAGTAACTAAGCTCTTGTGCATTAAAAGAAATCTTTTGTGCATTTGTAATTCAAGAGATTTAGTAATTTAAATTTTTATTATATAGTTACTTGTTAATTAATATTAACGATCATCACTTATTAGATACCCGCACTATTAAAGCTTCTCATATTTAAGCTTTCTATTATTTAGTAGATAATATATAAAGTACCTTATTTTATGCAAATAATATTGTTGGGAATCTGTTATTTAAAATAAACTAATCATCTGCAAATTCATCAATGATATTTCGCACCAATGTAATTATTAATATGTTTAAAAGAGCTAACCCAGAAAGAGTAAATTAAAGGCTATTGTCACTGATAAAACAAGAATAATCAAACTAAAATAGGCATAGGTTGTATTTAAATGCATAAAATTGAATTTTAAAATTGGCATAAAATTTTAAGAAAAAAGAAGTATAATAAAAAAAAAAATCAAATACACTTAGACAAAGAATAAACTTCCTGTTGATAGCCCAGTTCGAAATTAGTTAGCTATTAGATTAGATTTTTTTTTTTTTTTAAGATGTACCAAAAATTATAAAATGAATGCATTAATAATTCTTAGGTTAATAATAACTCAAAACTCATATTGAATAAAATAAATATACATGATCTTTTTAATTCTAGCTTTGTTGAAATTGCAAATATAAAATTTTCATTGCATTATATTTTAAAGTACTGATACTAAATAAATCGAAAGAATTCTCTAAATTTATTTAATATAGTATTAATATAGAATCAAATCATATAATAATAACATTTCATACTTCTTTTAACAAGCTTTTGTTAAAAATATCTAAATCATATTATGCAATCACAAGCTCCACCTGGTTTTACTCTTCCCAATATGATGACTCATGACAATCGTTAGACTGGCTTTTGGTGTTTTCTAGAGAAAATCACTGGTAATAGATATATAGCAAAATGTATCTATTGTAACTATGAGTTATCTGGCAGACCTGAAAATCTTCATAATCATGTTCTTAATTGTGGCAACTAGTCTGTTATTGAGAAAACTAACTATATTCAAAATGCTGTTAGTTCTGCTTCTAAAACTCGCAAAAAAGTTAAAGCTAGCTCTATTCTTGATGAAGAAGAGTCTAAGTATATTATCAAAAATTATATTGTATATATTAATGTTTAAACTTAACTAACAAAATCTATTTGATCTCATTGATAGTTTATTATCTCCTACATTAAAATATCAAGAAAGTATAATTAATTGGTGTACAAAACCTTTATCATTAGATCAAAAAAACAAATTAAGTTTACATAATGAAACTAGATATATAACAAGATCACGTTGGGTTATGAAAATGATATATTAACTAAACATAAGATCAAAAGTTACTTGATGCTATTATCTATAGTAACCTTTCTTTTAAGGTTGTTATTAACCCCTATTTCCTTGAATTTATCAACAAATTGGCCCCCAACTATGACCTTCCCTCTGATAAAACATTAAGAACTAATGTTTTTAATCATTCGTTTTCAATTTACTTTGCTAATAAGTATGAAATGATGACTACCTTAACAGATATTACTTTTGCATTAGACGGATGGCAAGATGTATCCAGAAATTCTATTTATGGTTTTATGCCTTGAAAGAGAACCAAGAATATGTATTAGATATCGTTGATTTATTAGCCAATTGACATATTGCAATATTTCTTAAAGACCAACTTAAAAAAGTCTTGCAAGCAAACTCAATCTCTTCCAATTCAGTTATTGCTTGTATTACAGATAATTCTTCAGTTATAGTAAAAATGAGGACTAATTTAAAAGAAAACTATCCAAATATTATTCCAGTCTGTTGTTGTCTTTATGTATTTAATTGAATTGCAAAGGATATCTCATCATTTTAACCTATACTTATGATTATTAAAAACAATCAAAAACTTATTAATTTTTTCACTTCATCTCATATATAGCTTCGAACATTATATAACTGGCAAAAAAAAAAAGAATTGAATCATTCACTTACAACATTCTGCGAAATGAGATGGTATTCTCTTGCAAAAGTCTGTTTAGGCGTGAAGAACTTTGAAAGAGGATTTCTTTACTGTGCTAATCTTAGTGGAACTGTGAACTATCCTATAATCCGATCAGAAATTTAAAATATTATTGCTAGCTGCTATCATTTTGCTGACAATGACACATTAGTTTCAGTACTTGTTCCTGTTGTAGATGCTATTGGTCATCTAGAATCAAGGAATACTACATTAGCAAATATTTTTAAAGAATTAATCAATATTCATTATATTACTTCTACAGCAAGTATTCCAATAAATGGGTTTAAAGAGTATGCTTTGGTGACAATTGACAAATGGGCTTGTAAATTCTCTGATAGCATTTACTTTGTTGCATTATTTTTGTCACCAAACTACAAGCAACTTGCAATATCAAAAAAAAAGTCTGGAGATTCAATTGTTAGGGCTTGTTTAGAGTTGGTGAAGTCCTGGTGCTTTGATAAAAGAAAACCAGCACTTTTGTTTAAAGAGCTTATCAACTATAAAAATAACAATCCACCTTTTAATACTTACAAAAATATTCCAAATATTAATTCTAGAAATTTCTGAACACAATTTACTGGAAGTTCCCCACTTCTACGTCGTTTTGCAATAAAAGTTTTTGCAATTGTTCTACACTCAGCAGCTGTTGAGCGTCTATTTTCTAGTTTGGGTTTGGCCAAGACAAAATCAAAAAATAGAATGTCTTCCACTTCGATGGAGATGATTGAAATGCTTTATCAAGATCTTCATCAAAGATTACAGAAAAAAAAATCAAATGAATGACCAAGTTTTGTCTGCCGATAATACAAATACAACAGATACTAGTGTTGATATTTTTTTGAGGAGTATTTTGATGCAGAGGAGGAGCAAGTTAAAGCAGCTAATCTTGTTTTAGAAGATGATCTAATGATGGAAAATTTCTTCGATATTATGCTTTATGAACAAAACCAAGAGATAAATAAAGGAAGTTCAACTGTTCATTAAAGAGCTATCTCTAGTAATGAGGATTGGTCAATTGATGATATCCTCGAAGTCTAGTTAATGTAATAAACATGCCTAAAAGGTTTTTTTTTTAATAAATACAAATATATAATTTAAATTCAAAAGTATCAAAACTTATAAAATTTAGTTAAAAGTGAATCAATCATCTTTAACACTACTATTCTACTTTTTTAAAGCATTCATATGTAAAAGTTTTAAATAACTGGTCAAATCTAAAAAGTAACAAACTTGAATAAAAAATCAGAGTCTGGTGTGATAAATTTTTTTCTTTTGTTTGTAATAATTCCTTGAATATTTCACAGTTAGTATAAATAAATAAGTATTATGTATATTTAAAAAATTTGCAATAGTTCAATGAATGTTACTATAATATTGATTGGTTAAACATATATAAAATATGCTGCAGTGTGCCAGTGGCATGCCAGGGTGGCATCCGAGCACCGATTCAAATAGATGGCATGCCAAATTTTTTAAGCGTGCCAGGCACCCTACTTCCAACCTCTTCTTTATAGACTTCTTATTTTGTAAACTATATAATTAATCTCTTTTTTAACTTTTTAAAATATACCTTTTTTGCCAATCTATATATTAATAATACAAATACATACCAATTCACTCTTGAAAACCCAACTGATAAAAAATCATAAGGATAAATTTCTTTAGCCCACTCTTCTGAAATTTTACTAACATTCTCTACAACTTCAATTTGTGATAAAAACATTTCTTTATTACAAGTTAAAGCTACAACTTTATTCTAAAACAAATCTTCTGTTTCTTTTGAAGACAAATCTTCTATTTCTTTAATAGGCAAACTTCTCTTAAAACTTCTCTTTAAATAGTTTCTAAAATAACTTTGTCAACTTATTCTTAGTTAAAACATAAACCAACTCTATACATAAAACCTTAAAATAAATATATATATTGTACAATGCAAAATTTTCTGACAATCAATATAAGATCAAATTAAGCAATCTAAT